TTAACACCCACTTTCTCCCCCCCCCAGTCCCACCCCCCCACCTCCCCTTCTCCCATGTTCCCAGGAACTGTCATCCTGTTGTTCTCTCTTCTGGCTTGTTTATCCACATGACCTTCTTTTGTGATCTTTTTTCAGAGCAGTTGGTAGTGGTAGCTGGGCATCAGCTAGTTTTTCTTTCCTCAGGGTTATGGAGAGTCATGCTCATGGTCTATTAGTCCATTCATCTAACTATTCCCCTGTGTCTTTGATTTTCTTCAGTTTTCTTTCTGCTGGACAATAGAATCCTTCATTATTCAACTAGAGATCTTATTTTTTCTTCAGTTACTTCACCTTGAAAATGCCAAGGATGTTTTTCATTTTGCTTTTATAACTACAGGTCTCTGCACATTTTACTTCACTTCTCAAGCAGTCATTCAAAATCAGATGTTCAGTTTTTCTTCATTTTTTCATGCTATATCAAAGAGGAATGATATCATATTCATTGCTGCAAGACACAACTTAAGATTTATCCTTAAGTACAACTTCATTGGTGATAAAATGACATCCACATACCTGCAAAGAAGACAAGTTAATAAACCATAACTAAACTCACCTCCACTTAGTGGCTTCTGACTCGGAGCGACTGTAGGTAGGGTAGAACTGCCCCTGTGGGTGTCTGGGACTGTCACTCTTTAAAGCTGTAGAAAGTCTTGCCTTTCTTCCATGGAGCAGTTGGGGGTTTCAAACTGCTTACCTTGTATTTAGCAGCCCAAAGGCTGAACATGACACCACCAGGGTTCCCTCAAACCAAACCCATTGCCATCAAGTGGATGCCAACTCCGAGCAGCGCCAGAGGACAAGGTGGAACTGCCGCTGGGGGGTTCCAAGACTACAATGCTTTATGGGAGTAGAAATCCTCTTCTATCTCCCATAGAGAGGCTGGTGTTTTCAAATTGCTGATTTGTTGGAGAGCTGCCCAAGGAGTAGCAACTATGTCCCCTGACCTCCTTGGATGATTATGTTAGTGTACACCAACCGCTAATGACAAAATGAAATAATTGAAGATTTACCAACTTCTCCAGTTTGAAGTTGATCAAGCATGCAGGCAAGATACACCAATAATTACTGGTGATTAGAATGCAAAAGTTGGAAAAAATAATGATCAGCAGTCAGAAAATATGGTCTTAAGGAAGGATGGAAATTAAACTGGAGATCACACAACAGAATTTTACAAGGCCAACGATGTATTCACTGCCAATACCTCATAAATGGTAGCTACGCATATGACTTTCCCAAATGGAATATATAGGAATAAAATTGTCCATTTTGGTGGAAAGAGGCAATGGAAAAGCTCAATATAATCTATTAGAACAGCAATAGAGTCTAGGTGCTGTATAAAATATCAGTTTTTCATATAAAATTCGAGCAGAAGCTGAAGAAAATTAAAATACATGCAAGAGAGTCACATTATGAATATGAATGTAACATACCTGAACACAAAGACCATCTAAAAGATAAATTTGACACATTACACATTTAGTAATGACTAAAGACTCTGGTGGTGTAGTGGTTACACACTGGACCGAGATCCGCATGATTGGCAGTTCAAAACCTCCAGCAACGTTGGGAGAGAAAGGCTGAGCCTTCTACTCCTGTAAACACTTCCAGTCTCAGACACCCCACAGGTGTCACTGTGAGTCAGCATGGATTCAATGGCAGTGAAAGAGAAAGACGTGCAAGAGATTTATGGGTACTATATTTATTTTTCTGTGGCACACTTCTAGATGAGCATTTGTCTATCCATGGCATGAAGAAACATTCAGATAAAATCTAGTTTTATCTATTTACTTTTAGGGCAGTGTTGGAGGAATGGTTGAGGAATAATTCTCTCCGCTGCTTTAGACGCGAAGGGTTAGTGGCACTGTTCTGACCTGACATTTAGGTCTTGTGATTTCTTTCCAGGAGATTTTTTTCAGTGCATGAAAACCTGCCTCTAAAAGCCTTATTATTTAATTCAATCTTAATTGGATTCAAACCTTAAAATTCAGAGGGATTTTTAGAAGGCCTAAAAGGACACAAATTCATTCTTTTAAATAGTAATGTCAATCAGCTGTTCTTTGCCAAAACACTGAACCTTTTGGGTCACCAATGTACATCAAATACATTTTGCATTTCGCTCACATTTTGAAAGCTTCAAGGGCCCAAATTTTTAATCCCTAAGCCATTCGCTATGTTTCAGCCATTTTTTCCAAAGGAGAATAAGCATTTCACTCAGCGATGTATATTTTAGGAATTCTCTATGCCATTTGAACGTAAGCCTATCTTTATTATTCTTAGAGGCAAGGCAGCCTTTTTCTTTTGCAGAAGAGGGGGACATTGAGGGATCAACAATTTTTCATAAGCTCCCCAGCGTCTCTGGGCATTAACAGGGGGCAGAAAATGACCAGACTACCTTTCTTTTGCAAGAGATGTAAATGGCCAGCACGGGGAGAAAGCTAAGAAACAGGGTTCTTTCCACCATATTTTTTTTCCCCTAGTACCTAATCCAGTTATTGTCTTGGAGACCACTGAAAAGGATGCCCAGAGGTTCATTTCTATTGTGATCCTTGCGGAGACAAAGGCGCGGGGGAGGGCACTGGTGCGCATCCTTTCATTGCGTGGGCTGGGTGCAGATGCCAGTGAGGAGTGAATTTCTGTTTTGCTTTGGAGTTGGGCTTCCCCAGTCCTTCCTAGGGATGCTGTGGCTCCTCGGGCCCAGCCTCTCCGATGGGAGGATGCTACTGGGCAGCTGCAGCAGCCTCTGCGTCAAGGGGCTGCGGGGCTGGGACTGGCTTCTCCTTGCGCTCCCCGCCTCATCCCTCCATCACCGCGCCCATTCCACCCCACCCCACCCCGCCCGCCCCACCCCCAGCTAATCGGAGGCCGCCGCACCGACACACAGGGCACGTGGGTGCCTCCGTCACCCCCTCACTCTCACCCTCACTCACACACTCACCCGCGCCCGCGCAGCAGCCTTGCGCCCGGATCCCGTGCTCCCCTGCTGACAGACACACAGGCGCCCACGAGTCTTTCCTCGTTAGCCCCCGGGGCAAAGACCCCTTCACCGCACCCCCAACGCTCACCCTGGGCTAGCAGCTGCTCCTGGGCGAATCCCTCCTGGGCGGCCCTTCTTGCAGCCCCCAACACCTGGACCAGCAGCTTTCTCGGCCGCTACAGCCGGGTCTTGGAAGCCGCCAGGCGCGCAGACCGGACCCAGGAAAAGGTAAGGAAAGACCCGCTCCCAAGGGGACCATGCGGCTGGGGGTGGGTGGGTCTCCTCTGGGAGACCAGGGGCTAGGGAATTGAGCAGACTTGCTTTCCAGAGCCCGGGAAGGGCTCAGATTATGTCCTGGGAGACTGCAGGGAGGGAGCTCAAAGCCGGTGGGAGGCGAGACGGGGTTTGCCTAGCGCCCCTCCGACGGGTCCCGCACCTGTCCACGAGCCAGGGCAGCAGCAGCGCCTCTGGGGAGGCACACGAGGGGAAACGTGCCGCCATGCCTTCCGGGGCTGGAATTTCCCACGGCATCCTCGGTAGACCTCCTCAATTCCCTGTCACGCCAGGGTTGGAGGAAGGGTGGGGTCCGACTTGGGAAAGTCCAACTGTGAAGCTGGGAGGGTCGGTGCGGAGGGATGCGCTTCCAGGGGCCCTCGGAGACGGGCACCGCGGCCTGGGGCGGGAGCACAGCGGTGCTTGTCGGTGCTGTTCCGACCGCAGAAGGCATCTGTCCCATCGCTCCAGGTGCGGTTTGCTGGCGGCACCCCGCGATTTCGGGTCTTGCTGCAGCACAGACGAGGCACGTGGTTACTGAAGAAACACAGCTCGCATGTTTTTGGGTTTTGTTTTGTTTTTGCGCACCGTGGATTTCGAGAGCGAGGCAGGGGTGCTGATGGTGTTGGGGACTTTAAGGAGAGGATAGCGAAGACTGGGGAGCTGGACCGTGTGTGCGTTTCTTTTCCAGGGCCGGTGAGGTCCAGCCCTGCCCAGGACGTTGGTCTGGGCTTGGGGAGCGCTTGCATGTCTGAGTGAGCACCAGGCCAGTGAAGCCCAGCGGATCCCATGGCGGCCGGAGAGATCTCCCGGGCAAGCGAGACCCACCGGGCTCAGTAGCTGCAGGGGCAGGGTTTTTTGTGTTGCCCCTCCCCCCACCCACTCCCCCCACCCTGGCATTCTTATTTTAAGAAAGCGAAGCGCTGGGCCGGCGCTCTCTAGTCTAGCCCTCCTTTTCCATCCTTCCACGCTGGGAATGGCTGGTGGAGTAAGACAGGGCGGGGCTGAGCGGGCGCGGTGACGTCCGCAGTGTTTGGGTGCTTATGCAAATGAGACTGCCACCAGCGCGGGTGGGGTGGGATTCTTCCCTGTCTGGGTCTTAAAGGTAGACCCTGCTTTAGGAAGCACCATTTGCGAGATTTACCGAAGTGACCAGTGCGCTTTAGCCTCTGCAGTGGACCGCCTCAGTACCATTGTTCACAGCTAGTATATAACTTTCAGTGCCTGGGTATTCCAGGACAGTAGTTAATTGACCATTTACCTCTAAGTGAATCATTCAATATATTCGTATATTTCTATTTTCTTTCTCATAATTTTTCAGGAAGACGAGAATTGACACTAATTTGAAAGTAACTCATAATTCAAGAATTACTTAGTATTTCCAACGTGTAACAAATGATGTAGTTTTTTAATGAAACGTATGCATGGTTCTAGAAAATAAAAATTCTATCAGCCAGATAATCAGGTAATTAAGAAATCGTAGGAAAATTTAAAATACCATAACTTAGATATTTTACATGCCGATAATCAATCAACCGAGATGTTTGCATGAGTTATTGAAACATTTAAAGTAAGTCAAAAATTAAATAAAATAAGTCAGCATAATTATTTAAAGCCAAATTCCATATCTATTATTGCTAGTTTATCAACTGGCTACAGTTCATATTGAGAGTGTCTGTGCTAAGAGACAGCTGCCTGTCCTGTGCTAAAAGAAAGCATATTGATGAATAGGTATAAAGTTTGTATTTTTGAAAACTTTGTGGTCATCATTTAGATAATTAAAAGAAATCACTGACTTAGAATGGTAGATTAGAAAATCCAGTATTATCAAATGTTCCAAAAAATTTGACTTAACTTTTTATTTTTGAACATTTCTTTTAGAGAGTATGTTTTTATTATTATACTATACATCTTGGAGATATTGATATATTTCTATTCAACTATTTTTGAGCAGATAGCATTATTAACATTATTCACAGGCCAAGTCTAATGCATGAAAAA